CCACAGATGGAGCAACATGTGGCAACCGCTATCTCAAAAGCACGTATGAGATTCACCATGGAAAACTTGAGATACACAAACTGGAAGTACACCTATTACAGTAGTTGCTTCGTGTTTTGTTACTTTATCAACTTGTGTTGATATTTTTTTATATCAAAAAAGACTGGTAGGAGATTCTCTATATAATATGTATTCCTTTAGTTTAGTAAAACAATCAAACAAGCTATCGAACCCCTATCATTAAAGCCCTTCGTAAGGAATAGCCTCCGCTGCGCGATCCCTTAATCCGCACGGGTTTTCTTAGGGTCTTCCATTTTCCTCCCACTAGTGGTCTAATGTGTGAGCTTCAGACCGTAAGGTCTGTCATTTAATCAATTGGTTTCGATCTAACACTAATACTCAGAAGTTAGGATACCTGCCTTAGCTCGTGGACTTTCTCGACATTGTTTCTTGAGAATCTACGGATATTCCAATCTGATTCCGTGGAACTGTCAAGCTGAGTTTCTGTGTATAATGGTATCAAAATTCCCCTCATCATTGATGTAGATTGAAATAAAATTGAAGCATATGTTAGTCCTAAAATAACCTAGTTTGTGTCGAGTAGATGTTAAACCCCATTTCTCTCTTTCGTATGTTTGTTTTCATTATCCCAGTTCATTTCTTCCAGTCTTGAACTTTCCCAGGATTTCCCGATTTACCCATATACTCTTCTTTATGTCAAATTGTCATTAATTTAAACCCGTAGCGTTTTTGTGTCCAGGGTGATTTCTACAAAAGTTTAGGAATCGCAATTTGAGGGCCATTTTGACGCAAAAACGCTGCAATTTTATATTTTAAATTACAACTTGGCATAAAGAACTGTATATATGAAGACGGGCATGAATATAGTGTACTATGGTTTGAATTTTGACCGACTTACTCTCACATCGAATTTCAACTGTCGAGGTTTCCTTTAAGTTCACCCAAATGTGTATACAGGACCTTGGTTTTTCGTCCCATCTTTCAGATTAGTAAGGCTAGGTCTTACTTAGTAAGCCAACGAAAAACCGAGGTTTCGTAACACATTGGTGTGCACGTAAAAGAACCTTGACACTTGGAAATCGAAATAAGAGTAGGCCGTAGCGCTGTCCTGACAAAATTTCCCTCAGAGCACACTACATGGTGTATGCTAGTCTTTAGCCCAGTTGGAGCAGAACAGTAAGACGTTAAACCCCATTCCATTTCATTTACTCACTTGTAGTCAAATGTTCCGTAGACAGCATCATTTAGACTCCCACAGCAAATATATCAGGACATATAGAAAATACATACCACGCCTCAATGGATTTAGCATTCGTAGCGGCCAAGTAAAGTATGGTTTAATCTTGCGGATGGCAAGATAAACCCAGGTCCACCCGTATCCTCCATTACAAATAGAATGACGAGGAGGCAGAAATGTTGCTGTCTTTGCAAAATCCCCCTGCCTAGCCAGGAAAGGGGCGTAAACTGTTTTTTAACAGGACTGGCAAGGTTAAATAGGTCACTTGCCCGTAAGTTATTATTGGTAGCCTCGTAATTCTTTTTGATGGGTCGTAAGTTATTATTAGTAGCCTCGTAAGTTTTTTGGGTAGCCTGTTTGTTATTTGTGGTATCCCCGGGGCTAGTAGAGTTTTACAACACTATCCCTCGAGCTGTGCGCGGTGGGTCAGTGAGTAAGACGTTGGCTCGCTAACATTGAACAGGTCCTGCGTTCGATCCCGGTGTCGACCGCGACAGTTCATCAAGATTTGCTGGTGTGGTTCCCCCTTGTCAGTGACGTAGGACGGACAGTGTCCAGTCGCTCCGGTGGGACGAGTAACAGAGGAAGTCCCGTTGGTGTGCACGTACAATAATCGTTGGCAGTTAGAATTCGATATATGAGTAGACCGTAGTGTCGCTGTCCGGGCGAAATTTCCTTCAATTTACACGGTATAGCCGATGCCGTCTTCATTATAGCCCAATCTGTCCAGAACAGTAGGACGTTAAACCCCATTTCATTTCTCTGTCTGAAAGGATTGGGGATATTGATGATGATAGGTGCAACAAGTAACAATCTTAAATGATAGTATAATGTTGATTTCAAGAATTCAAGCACCATTCCAAAAAGTAAAGAGGCACTAGCGATTTTTAAATTGTCGAGGAGTTCAGGCCAGTTTTTCCATTTTCGATAATTAGTGAGTCAGAGTTATTTTAGGTTGATTTTATTTAAAACAAGAGGATGTCCGGGCGCTGCACGTGTTGAAAGTACTATATCCCCGAAACTGGAAGCGGTAGTCCAACGCCACCAGGCCTATGTTACTACGCGGTTCGAGCTACCCCTATATATCGAATCCCAGCCTCGGGACAGCCCTAGTGTAACCGCCAACCCTGAACAGACAAACCAACAAATAAAATAAAACCAAGTACGAACAATCTAAACCATTAGACAAAATTCGAAGTCCTAAAAAAACGGTATAGGCAAAATAGTGTAATCAGCATATGGACTGTTCACCGTGTACAAACGACAATTACAGTATTAGTATAGATTAATTATATTTCGAATTAAAGGTGGCTTAATTATTCAGTTACATCGTATATTTGTTCAAATTAAACCGTATGTATCTTCTGATACACAATTAGGTACATGTACATTGTTCATCTTGCTGAAATTGATAATGTCACTCTCAATGGATTTATCAATTCCTTTGTAATTGTAAATATATTTGATTCAATGCAGAATCTGACAGGCTTTCATTCCAAAAATTATCTGTTCTGGAGCCATTCATTGATCCGGTTAAAAGGCTACTGGTGCAGTCGACATGACTAGCATACCACCATCCGCCCCCGAATCTCTTGGCACATTCCAAGTTTCCAGTATAATCAACATCGTATGTAGTGAAGGGATTGTTGTTCAAGCTTATAGTACCTGTCAAACTGTCCCCACATGATGTTCCAACCCCAGTGTAGCCACTAATATATAATGTGTAGGATGCCGATTTATTACCAATAAGAAAATTGGAGTACTGGCTGACGCAAGTTGACGCATCTGGCTTAACCAGGACTACCCGTAATTTGTAGGCATTGTTCGGATTATCAAGTAGATATAGGACTTGTTTCAAACCTAGCCATTTGTTAGGCGTAACATTGCCAAAACCCTCTTCATATTCTTCCAGAGTTCTATTGAAGTTCTCAAATAAACAGTCCTTATTACGACCTAGTATTCCAGTCCATCCACCATAGTCAAATGTACACAGTACTTCAAAAGAATCAGGAGATGCAAGCGGCTTTATGGTGGTCAATACATCATTAGTGGATCTCAAACCTTTCTGTGAACCTTCGGTGCAATCTGAAACACAATGAATAAATAACATTGCTCAAAGTTCAGAAATACTGAATAACACGGTTTTTCGTCCCATCCGACTGACTATACGTCGTCCCTTGCCAGACCTCCCGCCCTGCATAACTAACAAGGAGGACCACGCCGGAAAGTCCTGATCGAGGATCGAACACGGGACCTCTAGGTTAGCGAGCCAACGTCGTATCCACTGAATCACCGTGACTCCCCTCATATGCAAATTTCATTGTTAAAATGTCTTAAATAGAATAATGTCCGTTTGGTATAATATTAATTCTTTCTCACAGCCCATCTCCGGATTCAGTTGTTCTGTCTGTATTGGGAGTTGGATGGTATAGTGGTTTAGTGATTGAGCGTGAAATCACAAGCTCTGTCATTGAGTCAAGCAAGCGAACTATTGAAATACAATTGAACCCTGTGTTAGTCCTGAATTGACCTAGTGGGAGTCGTGTGGACGTTAAACCTCATTTCTCTCTCTCGTTCTGTATTCACATAGAATTTATAATATATACAAAGCATCTGTATATTTGTATATTTGAAAATATACACATGCATTAAAACTTTATAACTGTTAAACATGAACTCAGAAGTGGATGTTTATTTTACCTGATATGATGTCGTGACAGCCTTCTCCATATTTACCTAAAGGACAGGTACAATCGGTATCTTCACAACGAATGTTCTGTGAAATAAAAAATACAACTAGAGGATCCTAGCGAAAACGTCAGTCAGTAATAATCAGTAATTATACTACAGAGAATTGTTACTACTGGGTGGTATGTTTTCTCACAGGCCCGTGTACACAACTTGACGCATATGGGGAATAGTCGGTTAATTGATCAACTGGGTAATATGGTCAGGATTTATTTATGCTCGCACATCTAAGCGACTAAAGCAGACAACCCATGACTTAAAACAGCCACATAGAGGAACAGGGAGGTGGGGTGGTGTCTAATTGTGAGTGATGAGGAACCGGTGGGTGAAAGGGTATGGGAGAAACTACTGAAACTTAAGTCAACTTTTCTATTAATTACTACTAACGATTGACGAGGTGGGTGGTATAGTTTTATCACACAAGTAAATGATGATTAGGGTTTGATTCTCCTTGGCTAAAGGGAAATAATCGGTAACTTGTCATATTGGCATAACCTTGGTCCACATTATCTACCCACGGCCATTTAACTCAATCAAATTTCTTGTTAAAGATGCAGTGTGTAAGATTTAGATACATAGTTCGTCGTTCTTGCCATATACTAGTTCATAAATAGATAATGAAAAATGAATATATTGAAAAGTTCATTCAAATTACATTATTCTGTGCGAATTTATGAGTGTTGGAAGATGTAGCGTTGATTGTTTATCATTGTAGCAACGGTGCCGGATAGCGGTGCATGTAAGTCTCAATTATCCATGTTATCGTTAAAGTTGTAAATCCCAATCCATTTAAATTTCTGCCACCCGATGCTCTAGAGAGTTGATTATGTGATTGACATGTTAATAAATGTATAAATAATAATTCTATATCATTTAAAGAAAAGATAAAGAAGAGCAATAGGTAGATTTTGCGCTTAAACATAATGTATCTTTAATTGATTTTAATATAAACTACTAACCTGTGTGTAACAGGAACAACCAGTTGTATCACCAGACATAACACAAACTCCGCCATCTTGATATAGTTTACAGGATGAATTACGTGAACAATACAAATATCGCTTACAATCAGTATTCGCTGTACAGGCTCTGACGCACTCCATTTTCCGAGACGTATAAATTGATTCCAGAAATCTACTTGGGTCACAGGTGTTAATCACAACATTAGATTTACTGTATGAAGCCTTTCGATAATAGATACTTCGGACTGAAAACGAAAATAATAAATAATGCATTTTAAAGGCACTGTTCCGTCTATATATAAATAAATAAAAGCGTAGCGATACGCCCACACAGCCGCCATGTCTTGAAATACAGATATCCATAGACAGCAGCTTATCTGAAAGGAAAACGTGGTTGTTCACCACATGTGATAAGAATCTGCCTTCAAGTAATATAACCTTTGTTACGGAGTGATGAATATCGATAGAGTTCGTCTTCATACTATTACAATACTTGACACCAAATTTGAAAACAAAATGTTAAAACTGTAGCGTATGTTGTGTTAATAATTGTTTTATTAAGTATAGAATGAATAAAAACAAGGGAATGCACGAACTATTTCTAGTTTTCTAGTTTTCTCCTATCTAGTTACATTCAATTACTTTTTTGAATTGTTACATTATCCTCTCACAGTCTCGTATAACAACTTGTTTTCTTCGAAGGAATTATAAGTGAGCAGAAATTCGCCCGTGTATCTGTTATCACTCGTCACTTCAGTCAGTTATATAAAAGGATAACTCGTGTTTTCCTTTTGCTTTCGTCACTTCCTTTTATTTGAAACGTTCATTACGCATCTATCGTAGCAAATATATTTGGAACGTGTTTAACCAGTTCTATCACATATGTGATAATGACTGATACCAATATTGTCTACTACTGTGTTGGTTGGTGAACTTGACTCCACTACAGTTGTGGTTGCAGTACTTAGCTCCACTACTGTGGTGTTTGCAGTACTTAGCTCCACTACTGTGATCGTTGCAGTACTTAGCTCCACTACTGTGGTGGTTGCAGTATTTAGCCCCCATGCTGTTGTGGTTGCAATACTTAGCTACACAACTGTGGTGGTTGCAGTTCTTAGCTCCACTACTGTGGTCGTTGCAGTACTTAGCTCCACTACTGTGGTGGTTGGGGAACTTGACTCCTCTACTGTGGAGGTTGGTTGGGGAACTTGACAAATATACTGTGGTGGTTTAGGAAAATGGCCCTGCTATTGTGGTGATTGCAGTACTTGTTCCAAATACTGTAATAATAATAAGTAATATGTAAGGGTTATCGAATGAGGCAGAGGGGTTCAAGTTAGATGAATACTCGAGCACATGCAAAGCTGTACACTGAAACGTGCAAATTGCGGGAGCTCTGATGTTTATCTTATTTGTCCCCGAGGTCAAGGTCGATAACTATCTTACACACTCAAAACAACTTTACCAATTCGTCTGTAACAGGTATCGATACATTATTCTGCACGTCATATAATGTTGTTTACTCAGCAGATTGGGGAGGGGTCCATAACCTGAATATAGCCAGTTTATGTCTGTTTATTTACTATGTATACAAATTAAATCATTCCAATTTCAGGTTTTTGAAATACAATTTTAAGAAGTTTGGATTGGCATTCTGATAAATGTATTTTATGCCTATTGTTACACTTTTGGGTCTTTATGTCAGGTTCTTGATACCAACACTGGTTTAAATGAAATGAAATGAAATGAAATGGGGTTTAACGTCCTACTGTTCTGCTCCTATACTGGGCTAATGAAGACGGGCATACGCCATACAGTGTGCTATGAGGGAAATTTTGCCCGGGCAGCGGCAATATCGCCTACTCTTATATCGAATTCCAACTGCCAAGGGATCTTTTACGTGCATTCCAATGTATACACGGGACCTCGGTTTTTCGTCTCATCCGAAGGACTAGACAGCTGTCCTTGTCAGGCCCTCCGTCCTGCATCACTGACAAGGGGGAACCACGCCGGAAAATCGGGATGAACTTTCTCGGCCAGTGCAGGGATCGAACACCCGACCTCCAGGCTAGCGAGCCCAACACTGGTTTAAACATCATATAATACTTTTATTCTTTTTTAAACATATCATCTACAAGACTTGTTGAATAATACTTAGTTAACAGGTTCTGTGTCTGGTAGCAGTCTTGTTACCAGATTGACTACAATCGTTTAATCTGGCCTTATATAGTATTGGGCAAGATGGATGCCCAGCCTTGAACTCCAGATACCACACCCACGCACAGTAACCGGATTGGTCGGTATTCCATCTGGAATGGGTTAATGCCCCGATCGTACAGATAGTTTTTGACCAAAAGCGCCACAGAGCAGTCAGACTGACTGAATGTTCAGCGCTATAGAAAACGATTATTATTATTATTACCAATCAGCTACGGACAGGTGTTATATTTCAGACCATATAGTGGCTGGAGGTTGCAGCTGGTTATTATATAATATCATTCGAGGTATTCCCAGTGGGGGGGGGGGGGGGGTGGATGGCTTAATGGTTAGCGTGCGCGCGCTGTATCATAAAGTCTGTCATAGAGTTGACTGGCATGGTTTCGAATCCCCGGTTGTACGTGACAAGGAGTAGGGTCGCCTGTCCAACCTCGTGGATTTTCTCCGGGTCCTCCGGTTTCCTCCCACTGCTAAAGACCCCTACGCGCAAGCGAATTATAGAAATAAAATTAAACCATATGTTAGTCCCGAAATGACCTAGTTTGTGTCGAGTGGACGTTAAACCCCATTTCTCTCTATCTCTCTTGTATCCCCAGTGGTTTCAATCCGTTCTACTCAACTAACCCCTGGGTAAATCGGGGGGAGTAGTAGTGGAGTAGAACGGTATGAGAACACTGGGGATACCGAGGTTTATATATATAATACCAGGTTACGCTTTCAGTACAGATTGCTTTACTAGACAAAGGACGTTACGTAACCCAAGTCAGCTGTGATGATTAATGACTGCACTAACGACTTCAGCGTGGCCGTTGGTCGTGTCAAGCCAGTTCCAATGTCAACCATCTGCGGGTCATAAATCTGATAAGGATGTTAATCGATTTCATGTCTGGAAGGTGTTACGTGACATTTTCCTGAATAATGTCAATTGTGTAACACTATTTGCTGATTTCAGGTTTTTGACACTTTTTTTGTACGCTCACATGTCGTACATTGTCGTAGCCCCCCGTTTCTCAGTCTGTCTGTCCGTCCAATGTCCACGCTCTGGAGGCTAAACGATTAAGGTGAATCCTATTTTCAATGATTTCCGATAATTACTTCCAGATTTATGGCCCCCGATATTTAATATTTTGTGTACTAAATGTTAGTATACGGTCGTATGTGGGGGGGGGGGGCGATGTGGTCAAATGGTTAGCGCATGCGCATTGTATCATAAGGTCTGTCATTGAGTCAACTGGCGTGGTTTCTAATCCCCGGTTGTACGTGACAAGGAGTACGTGGGTTTTCTCAGGGTCCTCCGGTTGACCCATTTCTCCCTGCCTGGCAATCTATTTTTACAATCTCCAACAGGCCAATTGATAACGTAATATTTGTTTAGTTAGAATAGACATCCAAAAGGAACAGGATAATGCACGTCCGCTGCTAATAACATCAATGTCTTGGACTGGCAAGCCATGTCTCCGGACATGGCACCGATAGAACATGTCTGGTATGAGAGTGGACGCCGTCTGTATCGGAAACCACAGATGCACACCATTGCTGCTTTAGAAGCTGCTCTTGTCCAAGAATGGAACAATTTGCCCCAGGCCTTCTTTCAAACATCGGTAAATTCCATGCGACGTCGCTGCACAGCGTGCGTAAGAGCCCGTGGAGGACACACGCGCTACTGACATCAGTGTCATACTTTTGGTTCTGACCCCTCTGACTTTGTACCGTTGATTACAGATTAAACATCCATAAGTGTACAAATGTGTTGTTATTGATGTGTTCCCCTTTGAATATTGTTCACAATAAGAAGCAAAATAAATAAGATATGTTTACAGGATCATTTTGTTATACGAAAAACTAAGTGATGCGTTTCCCATGGCGCTCAGTATATAATCCAAACAGTTCAGTTTTCAAGAAAGATTTAAATTGATAGAGTTAGGATTTCTGTGGAGATTTAGCGGAGGTTTATTCCACTTTAAAAATGCAGCGACCTGGAAAGCGTGGCCACGAAACGACTTTAACTTCCACTTAGAAATACAAAGTTTTTGTCTAATTTAGAATGGGACTCGAAAATTCTCACGGGTACCTCGGAACACTTCCATCCACACATTGTTAGACGAAAGACAATGTTTGGAAATAGATCCTGAGTTGAACAGACAACCAGGTCCTCTGTAACTCAGCCCATACTCCAGATCTACCTCCTCCCTCTGACTTTTTCTTCTTCCCACAACTCAAATCTGCCCTCGGTAATCGCAGACTTAGAGAGGATGATGAGAGGTCATCACTTTATGGAGCTCTTGTTAGGATCATGTGACAAACTAGTTTTCTGACGAGTTAAATGTGCTGGAGAAACGATATAACAAGTGTATTGATGTCAAGGGGGATTATGTTGAAGAATAAATATAAAAATCTAGATCGAATATTACTTTGGTGGTGGAGGTCCACCCCTAGTATACTTACGTATAGACTTTCTACAGTAGATGGTGCCCTTTTGTAGTGGATTCTCAGTCGTCCAAATCCAATCAACATTTGAAACATGTACAGGTTTTGCGTTATTCCAAGCACTGTCGTTAAATCTGTAATAATGTTATTGCGATTAGAAAACTTTTTAATATAAAAATAAAACACTTAATAAAAGACGGCGTGCTCTCTGACATATTAATACAAGCTGACTTGCTCTCTGACATATTAATACAAAACGGTCTGCTTTCTGACATATTAATACAAAACGGTCTGCTTTCTGACATACTAATACAAAACGGTCTGCTTTCTGACATAATAATACAAGATGGTTTGCTCTCTGACATATTAATACAAGACGGCTTGCTTTCTGACATATTAATACAAGACGGCTTGCTCTCTGACATAATAATACAAGACGGCTTGCTTTCTGACATATTAATACAAAACGGTCTGCTCTCTGACATATTAATACAAAACGGTCTGCTTTCTGACATATTCGTGCGAAATAAAATGGGGTTTAACGTTCTTCTTTTGTACCAACTGAACGACAAGATGTTGTTCCATGCCCAGCCCTCCGCCCTGTACCACTGACAAGGAGACACCACACCAATCTCCAGACTAGCGAGTCAGCGCCGTGCTCACTGAGCCACCATGACTACCCAAATCGTTAGCAGAAACAGGTTACGACATTACTATTATATAGAACATTATATCAGCCGACGTTTCTACTTACTCGACAGTGTTCCAACCTTCTTCCTCTTCATCTGAACATTTCCAGGTTGTATCAGTTCTAACACCGTTACTCAAGCCAACATTGAGGCCATGCACCCCTCCCACATTCTTACACCTGATTGCTACCAGTTGTGTACTGCTTGGTATGTTGATGAATGACGGAAACTCCCTTGAGTTATCATATTGATGTGTATATCGTTCACCATCCGCGTACAATTCCATTTCACTATAGCAGTATGCCTCGCCAGTTATTTGTTGATCGGCTACATAAATAATGTATAAAGGGATTATTGGATTTACAAACATCGATATAAAGTTTATATTAAATAAACAACAAACGACCAAAACCTATAAAATACTATTGTATCCATTGATCCGTTGATGTGGGCTAATCGAATGCCGAAATGGAAATAAGTAGTGGTTTGGGGTTCGATTCAGACGCTTGACTAGAGGAGTATCCCAGGGGATACGCCCCCTCCCCTCCCGGCATCTTTTATTCTTCTACATACATCGAAATAGCAAAAACTATCCAGTGCAGCAATGTCCCAATTTTGTCTCGTATCCACCTGTCCATCAGAGCTGCTTAGTTTTTAGGTTTAGACCTGGGTCTGTATTCAAAAGATATCGTAAGTCTAAGATAGTCACTTAACTACTAGATTTCACTTAAATATACGTAACTTCCTGTAAGTTAAGGGTAAGTGGTATTCAAAGGCAATGTTAAGTATTAAATTTTCCCTTAAAAATTAAGCCGCCTTAACTTTTAAGTGTTAGTCTTTAAGTGGTATTCAAAGGCCAGTTTAAGTGAGAAAAATCCACTTAACTTTAAGAGAACTATGGGAGGTACCTTAAAGTTAAGTGAGATTATAATGACGTCTTTTAACCGGAGTAAACACCGTAGTAGCAGGGCCGTAATGACAATTTTAAAAGTTAGGGGATTCAGATTGAAACAAAGACAATGTTGCCGAGCGTAGCTTGCATCAAACTTGTTTTTCATCGTCAGCTTTGATGTCGTAGTGCCATAATAGTGTATAAGGTTACTACCACCAAGATGATCAAGGATATTTTTTTTTGATCATTATCGTGTTCGTATTGCTTAATCATGTGTGGTAGTGTCGCCCGATGTGCATAAAGAATTTCAAACTAGTCGCCCAAACTCATCAATTGTATGTACTTGCTTGGCGTTAGCGAGCCAATCAACTATCGCGCACGTGCATGCTTCGACTATAAAACTAGGCGCGTATCATTCATCGGGGGAGTTTCAGTTAGTAACTCCCGAGGTAAGGTAACCTTATTATATTATTCAAAAAAAGTAGGGGATATTTGATTTTGGGGGCATAATACTAAAATATGCAAATGACTACGAAAAAAGTCACTATAGAACCTAACAGAAGAAACATGTCCAGTTACATGTGACGCCCAAACGCACCAATAGCTACCGCATGGAATGCAGGTGATGCTTGGGATCATCATGGGGGTCCAACCCAAGATTTGCACGACTCTGACTTTGAATGTTACAGTCATTGTGGCATTGAATTCCAGGGTGGAAACATCAGTTTAATTGTTTTAGTGACCAGAAAACAAATTTTGATATGCGTCGGCTTACCCAAAATGAAAGGTTACGTGCCCTTGGCATGCTACAGATCGGCACAACACAGGCGGTTGTGGCGCGGACGATGAATGTTTCTCAGTCTGTCATAAGCAGGCTATGGTCCAGATACCGTGATACACAATCTGTACAGGACAGACCACGCTCAGGTCGACCAAGGGCGACAACTCAAGCCCAGGATCGATTTATCCGTACCTTGGCCTTGAGAAATCGTGTCATCACAGCAAATCAGATCAGCGCTCGTCTTCAAACAGACACTGGTGTGAGAGTGAGTGGCCAGACGATTCGGAATCGACTGCATAGGGGTCACCTTCGCGCCCGACGTCCTCGCGTGATCCCTTGTTTGAGATTTCATCACATTCAGGCAAGACGTCGTTGGTGTAGGGATCGTCAACACTGGGATAATCGACGCTGGAGCAATGTGATGTTTTCAGATGAGTCAAGGTTCACTGTTGATTTTTTGGACAGACGTAGGAGGGTGTGGCGTCGTCGAAACGAGCGCTTCCAAGACGTTAACGTCATCAGATATGATCGATTTGGGGGTGGTTCTGTTATGGTGTGGGGAGGCATCACTGTTGCTGGAAGAACGGCTTTACATGTTGTTGCAGGGCGTGTTACAGGCCAGTACTACCGGGACAACATCTTGGCAGTCCATGTTGTGCCGTTCGCACGACGTCATGGCCGCCGTTTCATCTTCCAGGATGACAACGCAAGATGTCACAGGGCCAGGATCGTTACAGGTTACCTCCAACAACAGAACATCACCACATTACCTTGGCCAGCACTGAGTCCCGACCTCTCCCCCATCGAGCATGTCTGGGACATGCTTGGACAGAGGTTACGTCAACGTCAACAACGTCCTGCCAATGTCCAAGAACTTGCTGCTGCGTTGCAACAGGAATGGGACAATCTGGACCAAAATGACCTTAGACGTCTCATTAGGAGTATGCCACGTCGGATCAATGCTTGTTTGGCAAACAGAGGAGGATTTACCCGTTACTGACTTGGTTGTGATGCTGTGGTAACTTTGCTGTTTGACCCCGGGTATCATTTTACCCTTATAATGGTCAGTCTGTGCCTTACTTAGTCTAACGATCATTTGGAATAAATCGATGAATGTGAACTTCATTTCATTTTGTCATTTGTTTCTTCGTCAGTTTCATTAGGTGACTTTAATAACACTTAAAAATCAAATATCCCCTACTTTTTTTGAATAGTATATTTAGTTTGCTTCTTATTGTGAACAATATTCAAATGGGAACACATCAATAACAACACATTTGTACACTTATGGATGTTTAATCTGTAATCAAGGGTACAAAGTCAGAGGGGTCAAAACCAAAAGTACGACACAGATGTCAGTAGCATGTGTGTCCTCCACGGGCCATCATCACGGTAGGCTACAGCATTAAGGCGACCCCTGCAAATGTGTAGGGCGGTCCGGTGATGAAATGTGAAGCCTCCCCACACCATTACACTTCCCCCACCCCATCGATTCGTTTCGAAGACGCAGCAGTCTGCAAGACGTTCCCCAAGACGTCACCACACACGTTGACGGCCATCAGCGTGATAAAGATGAAAGCGACTCTCATCACTGAAGAGCACACTTTGCCAGTCTACTCTTCTCCATGTCTGGTGTCCTTAAGCCCATATCAAACGCCGTTGACGGTGATGATCCCTATGGGTAGCTCCAACATAAGGTTGTCGTGCACGGAGTCTTACTTCTCTTAGACGACGTTTTACGGTGTTGGCACTTACTGGTCCTTGTCTTTCGACGACTGCTGCACCTATTCGAGTCGTTGGGCGGAATCTGTCACGCAGATGAGTGACCCGGATTTAGCGGTCTTGAGCCTGGGTTGTAACGCGTTGTGGACCAGGACCTTGACGGTCACGTGTTGATCCAGTAACTTGAACACGTTCCACCAACCTTACAATAGTGGACTGATGACAATTGAAGTGTCTGGCAATAGCACGTGTAGACATGCCAGCCCTGGACATTCCCATGGCTTCATTCCGTTGATTTTCAGTAAGTCTCGGCATCTCTAGCTCGATTCCTTCACACGTCCAACAACAAATTACGACAGACTGACGTTTCACAGTTCATGTACTGCACATTAAGTTGAAAACATGCTTTTAAAGGGCTCACACACAATGCTGCACGTGAATGTTGGGTTTTTCATGTGCATCTCGTGCAATTTTTTTTGTTTGCACACGGGCAGATATTTTTTGCGTTTGGGAGCATTGTGTGAAACAATAGTTCATAGTATTGCATAATATTATACATACAAAACCACCTAGTAATAAAATATTTGGGGAAAAAAAGTGATGCGTTTTCCATGGCGCTCAGTATATGTAAGACCAGATATCGCCTCATATCAACCAGATATTTTCATTTCTTTTATATACTATTCAAAAAAAGTAGGGGATATTTGATTTTGGGGGCATAATACTAAAATATGCAAATGACTACGAAAAAAGTCACTATAGAACCTAACAGAAGAAACATTTCCAGTAACATGTGACGCCCAAACGCACCAATAGCTACCGCATGGAATGCAGGTGATGCTTGGGATCATCATGGGGGTCCAACCCAAGATTTGCACGACTCTGACTTTGAATGTTACAGTCATCGTGGCATTGAATTCCAGGGTGGAAACATCAGTTTAATTGTTTTAGTGACCAGAAAACAAATTTTGATATGCGTCGGCTTACCCAAAATGAAAGGTTACGTGCCCTTGGCATGCTACAGATCGGCACAACACAGGCGGTTGTGGCGCGGACGATGAATGTTTCTCAGTCTGTCATAAGCAGGCTATGGTCCAGATACCGTGATACACAATCTGTACAGGACAGACCACGCTCAGGTCGACCAAGGGCGACAACTCAAGCCCAGGATATTTGATTTTTAAGTGTTATTAAAGTCACCTAATGAAACTGACGAAGAAACAAATGACAAAATGAAATGAAGTTCACATTCATCGATTTATTCCAAATGATCGTTAGACTAAGTAAGGCACAGACTGACCATTATAAGGGTAAAATGATACCCGGGGTCAAACAGCAAAGTTACCACAGCATCACAACCAAGTCAGTAACGGGTAAATCCTCCTCTGTTTGCCAAACAAGCATTGATCCGACGTGGCATACTCCTAATGAGACGTCTAAGGTCATTTTGGTCCAGATTGTCCCATTCCTGTTGCAACGCAGCAGCAAGTTCTTGGACATTGGCAGGACGTTGTTGACGTTGACGTAACCTCTGTCCAAGCATGTCCCAGACATGCTCGATGGGGGAGAGGTCGGGACTCAGTGCTGGCCAAGGTAATGTGGTGATGTTCTGTTGTTGGAGGTAACCTGTAACGATCCTGGCCCTGTGACATCTTGCGTTGTCATCCTGGAAGATGAAACGGCGGCCATGACGTCGTGCGAACGGCACAACATGGACTGTCAAGATGTTGTCCCGGTAGTACTGGCCTGTAACA